TTTTTATACTTTTCTGCTGGATGGTTAAGACCAAGACATAGCAAGACCTATATACCCAGAAATGTAACTTTTGTATCTGATAAGGTCAGCCAAGTACTCTCAGGATTTATCCTGTAGCCCTAGTACCGCCATGACTATGATTCTTATGTGTGTATATAATAAATAGCATGTGTGCGTACACAGACACTTATCTTTTTTTTGAGTAATTAGAAAGTCATGCAAGGGATAGAACATCATCTTTCTGTTGTTACTCATTTCTATAGTTTACAGCCATGTCTGGCATACAGATGTCCCTTATGCATTGGTTCCATAAATAAATAATGTAAAGAAAGAAGAGAAAAAACAGTCTTCTATTCAATATGACAACTATTATGGTATCCAAAGCAGGACTTACCTCTTCATCCTTGTTCACTCATCTGCTTTTACTTCTTCTACAACACAAATATTAGTACTGAACATATTACAATTTGTTTTTATTTGTTAACTGTCTCAGAAAATAAAATTCTGAGGAACAGCAGCATACCCTGGTCACTGAAATCATACTGAAGGTGGGAAGCACACAGAATTATAGTTAGGCATCTCAGAGCACTGGGCATTACCTACCACAGTACCTAAAATACAACTCAATTCTTGCTCTATTTATTTTAAACATAATTAAACTTCGTGTCTTACTGAAGTCTATTTCTCTATTTTGCTTATGAGGTAGAGAGAGAGAGTTGTTAGAAGTGGTTTAATTTGAAGTTTATGATGTCAAAGACTTTTAGGCTAAGATGACCTTTTAATTTGATCTTTGCAGTGTATAAATTTATTGAATAATAGTGATTTCGTCTGTTTCATACATCGTATCTGAGAGATCACTGCCCTATGGGGAGGTTTAGAAATTTCAATTTTAAGTTTCTATTTGTTTGTTTGTTTATTTATTTATTTAGTACCAGATCTTGCGAGGCAGCTCAGATTTGTATTGATCCTTTGGTCTCAGCCTCCCCAGAACTGGGATCTGTATAAAAGCATGAACCACCACACCTAGTTTCAATGGCTGGCACAGGTGCCAAGGCTTCAGGGGTTGGCATGGCATGCAGTACCGGGAACCAAACCCGGGTCCTTGTGTTTGCCAGACAGGCGCTTAGACCACTGAGCTATCTCCACAGCCCTAATTTTCCTTATTTATAAGTGAATATTCTTTCTTCATTTTCATTAACCTCATATTGTTCTAGTGTCAAATGATTTGACCATTGAGTTAGATTCCTACAGTCTTGCATAAGCAAGTGCTATGTCTGTAATGTAATCTTGCTACATTATCTGCTCAGATTGGTCTTCTTAAGCTGCCTTATTTAAACCATCAACCACTGGGGCCGGGGAGATGGCTCTGTAGAATAAGCGCTTGCCTGGCAAGCACAAGGGCATGAGTTTAATCCCCGGTTCCGCCAAAATAAATAATAAATAAATAAATAAACCATCAACCACTAAGCCTTGCAAAAAAAAAAATAGTGCTTTGCTTTTCCTGAGCGTACACCTCAGGTGTGCACTGCATACAGTTCAGAAATGGATCCAGCAGTGTTTCAGCTTTTTTTAATTTTTTTTATTTTTATTCTTTTTTTAGTGTTTCAGTTTTAACTTAGTGCATATCAATTATATTAATAGTGTAGACCATTCATTGAATTTTGTATGGCATTGTGTCTTACAAAGAGAGAACTTTCTGACTGAACTATTTCCATGGCACAGTGGCACCTACTGGAAAATGTAATAATTTGGGTATTTCCTTGAGCATACATTCATTTATTCATATATTCATTCAACTATATCATGTACTAAGAGCAGGACCTATGCTGGAATGCAAATATAAGAAATTATTACGATATAACCCTCTCCCTAAAAGAGTTGCATATAATTAGGAGAAAAGATCAGCAAGAGAATGTGATGTTTGCCAAATATGGAAAAAAAAATACTGTACCCACAGAGCTACCAGAGTATGTAGGTTCAGTGGTCATTTTGCTTAGTAGGGCCAGGTTGCTAGAGAACTGGGATACACTTTGTCTCTTCCTAAGGTCAAATTTTCTAAGCAAATAAGAAGGAGAAAGAAGGAAACTTCATGCACAAAGGACCACGTATGTCCACATGTGTGCAGTGGCATTTATAAAATATTTGGCAACAAAATGTGGTTTCAGCATAGAGTATGTAGGAGCAGATAACATGGCATAGACACCAAAAGAAATGAAAATGAGTGAAATGCGTGAGTCCTGGGAGCTGTGAGACAGTGCAGTGGGTAGGTGGAGATGTAAAGCAGTCACGAAAAGAGGTAAGGTACATCCTGGAAAGAGGAGAAGATCAGGAACTGCATCAGATAGGGCTGAACCACATGTCAGCCCTAAAGCAGCAGTCACCATGGGTAATAGCTTCATCCGGGCAACTTTGCGTAGTACATCGTCCGTGCCTTTGATGTTGCCTTTAATGTTGTAAATCAACCTTGTGACTGCTTTAGAGATTTCTGCTCATCTTTGGGAATTTATTACAAAAGTACTAGAACTAAAAATCAACAGAAGCCCTAGAGACAAAGGAATTCACGTTCATACACACGTCAAAAAACAATCCCATCTTATTGTTTTGAGTAATATAAAATTGGTCTGAAACTCATTTTACAGCGCTGGTGTCTCCACAGTGAGTTTCCACGGGCTGCTGGGCAGCATTCAGTGGACTGTGAGTGTTGAAAGACCCATCCAACCTTCAGCAATCTCCCACTTTTCTCTCCATTTTCATGACACCCTTTTGTAAACTTCTTTGAAATATTTGACTCGTCAAAATTATAAAAATGCTTCAAGAGCCAGCAAGATAGCTCAGCATACTAATAGCCTGCTTAGGCAAGCGCAGGGGCCGGGGTTTGATCCCTGGCACCACATGGTTCGCCAGCCCCAGCCCTGAGCACGCTGGACCAGCGAGCAAGTCCAGGCATAGGGACAGGGGCCTGTAATCCCAGAACTGGGAGGCTGAAAGCAGTAGGATCACTAGGAGTTCGAGCTGCATAGTGAGACTCTGAAAAAAAAGCTTCAAAGTCACTGGTCTATTTGATTCCCAACGTCTATTCAGCAAAGTATATGACAAAGACTATATATATATATATATATTTTTTTTTTAGTTTTAAGCATTTATTTTTATTTTTATTTTTTTGCCATAATTTTATTGATAAACAAATAGCAATGAGACAGTTTCAAATCAAATCGGTAGGACAATTTCAATAATCAACACACTGCATACATTCTTCTTAGTGGTTAATTGCTGTACAAGATGCGGACTTGAGATCCTATTTATAAACACCATTAGAACAAATCATTCTATTCATTAAGACTATGTTTTAGAAACTAGAAGAAAAGCCACCAATATAATGAAGTGTGAGAGGGTCACTCAGAGTTCTTCCCTCTTGGATTTATCACTTTCTGCATCTATGATCAGGACGACATAGTCAATTGCTTTGGCTATTAGTGTCCCATCTCTGGAAGTATAGAGGCTCATTAAACATATTCACAACTTGTTTGAAAAAATATAATGAAATAGCAGATAGAAAAACACATGCTGTCTTCTGAGGCACACAGTTGTTGCTCCATGCATGGTAGCTCTGGAAGTTCTTGGAGACAGAGAATGAAAGTGGAAGATTGGTCATCTCCCTGAGAGACTACCGGAGGCAGCTTCATTCAAACCATAGAAATGCAACCTGTTAAGATAGTGTGTATTTTGATAAGTAACCCTGCAATGGATGTAACTTCCAGTGGATGCATGATGGAATACACCAGTTTTAGGGGGGAAATCACGATACAACTTTGAAGCTGGGGAGATAGCTGGATGGTATAAGCACCTGCCTGGCAAATGCAAGGACCTGGGTTCAATCCCTGGTACTGCTGGCCCAGGGAACATCCTGCTGGCTATCAAACCAGGCGTGGAGGCACATACTTATAATCGAGGCTGAGACAGGAGGATCACTAGTCTGAATTGTGTAATGAGACCCTATACTAAGTAAATAAATAAATAAATGATTTTTAAAAAAAATTAAGAAGATACACCACTTTGAATTTAATAATTTAATTTAGTAGTAAAACAAGGGGCCAGGGAGATAGCTCAGTGGAATAGGTGCTTGCCTGGCAAGAACAAGGTCCTGAGTTTGATCCCTGGTACCCCCCCCCACACACACACATAAAAGTAGTAAAACAAGTTGGTGTAGAACACCTAACCAAGGCCATAGCAAGTAGTGCTTTGACATTATAGTCTTTATGATGATGTAATGATTACATATTAGATGCAAGATCTATGTGAGGCTGAGGATATAGCTCAGCAACAGAAGTGCCCGCCTGGCAAGTACAAGGTCTCAAGTTTGATGCTGATAGCACAAAAACAAAGATAATATCCTATGTGATGGATACAAACTGTG